AGTCTGTCCCACGGGGACTGCACAGACCCCCAACTGCTACCATGGCTGCAGACGCACAGCAGTCTTTTGGCACAGAGGGAGATCTGGGAACCCTTGCCAGGAGGAAATAATTGCTTTCTCAAGGGAGAAAAGCAAAAGTCCTTGCACATCTTTAAGGAGCACATACCACACTCACAGATCAGTGAGTTTGCTAGCCTATGAGTAAGGCTACCAAGAATGAGAAGTTACGCACCAGAATATGAAAGGCAGCCCCATCTGGATTTCCCAGTCTGAAGAGCTGTGCACGTCATCCTCCATTCTCATAATCCTAGGCTGCTTTTCTTTTTCTCACCTTTATGAGCAGAAACGGCTGTTTACAAGGGTGGATAGTGATAGGACAAGGGGGAATGGCCTTAAAATGAGACAGGGGAGGTTTAGGTTAAATATTAGGTGGAAATAGTGATGCACTGGAACAGGTTGCCCAAGGAGGTTGTGGATGCCCCATCCCTGGAGGGATTCAAGGCCAGGCTGCATGTGGCTCTGGGCAGCCTGGTCTGGTGGTTGGTGACCCTGCACATAGCAGGGGGGTTGAAACTAGATGATCACTGTGGTCCTTTTCAACCCAGGCAGTTCTACGATCCTATGATTCTATGATTCTTTGATTTTCATAATTGGAATACCACCGTTGAGGTCTGTAAGCTTTATAGAAGGGGCAGACAAGGTAGAAGGGGTAGGGGAGTTGCCCTCTATGTTAAGAAGAAGGGTAGACTGTGAGGAGCTGATTCTGAGAAAGAGTCACAGCCCATGGATTAAGATTAGGGACTGGGCCAAAAAAGGACATCTGGTGCCTGGGATCTACAATAGGCTGCCTGATCAAAGAGAGTCTGTAAGGTGAGGCCTTCTTGCCTCAGGGGGCATTGCACTTGCAGGCTCTCATCTTGTTGAGGGATTTCAACCATTCAGATATGTACTGGGGAAACAACATGAGGGGCTGAAAGTGATCCAGGAGACTTCTGGAGTCGACCGATGAAAGCTTTCTGGTTCAGGTATTGGACAGTGCAACCAAAGGTGAAGCGCTACAGGACTTGGTGGTGTCTGATGTAGAGCCTGAAAAGAGGTTAAGGATGGAGGCAGTTTTGATTGTAGTAACCACATCCTGGCTGAGTTTATCATCTCAAGGAATATGAGTCTGGTAAGGAATGGAGTCAGGACCCTGAACTTCATGAGAGTTAACTCCAGGCTGTTTAAGAAATTAATGGATGAGATTTACTGGGAAACTGTCTTAGTTACAACAGAACAGAGTTGGCAGTTCTTCAAGGACACCTTTCTGAGAGCACAAGAGCTCTCCATCCCCCAGAATAAGAAATTGTGCAGACAAGGCCAGAAGCCAGCATGGTTGAGCAAGGGCATGTTAATCAGGCTGAGGGGAAAAAAAGGGAAAAGTATAAGCAGTGGAAGTGGGGAAGGTGGCCTGGGAAGAAAATAGGGATGCTGTCTGGATGCACAGAGATGGGATCAGGTAAGTCAGGATGCAGATGTGAGGGATGTGAAAAACAACAAGAAGGGGTTATTTCTATACAATGGGTAGAAGAGACAGGCAAAGGAGAATGTACTCTCTCTAATAAATGAAAATGGAGAACTGGCATCCTCAGACATGGAAAAGGGTGAGGTACTTAATTAGTTTTTGCCTATGCCTTCAGTAGGAGACAGGATTCCTACACCTCTCATATTCCTGAACTTCTAAGCGGAGGTAAGAGTGGAGAAAGCACCTCAGGGCTCTGAAGGAACTGGCTGATGTGGTCTCCAAGACACTCTACATAGTATCTGAGAAGTCTATCATGGGAATTCCCCAGTGACTGGAAAATGAGAAACATCACTCCTGTATATAGGAAAGAGAGAAAGGAAGACCCAGGGAAATGCACTCTGGTAAGCTTCGTGTCTGTGCATGGGAACATCATGGAGCAGATCATCCTGGGAGAAATGCTAAGGCACAAGCAGAAGAGGAACTGACTTTTTACATGGTCTGCTAGTGACAGGACAATGGAGAAAGTTTTTAAATTAAAAGAAGGAAGATTTAGCTTACATGTTAGGGAGAAACCTTTTACTCAGAGGGCAGCGAGGCACTGGCACAGACTTCCCAGAGAAGCTGTGGATGCCCCATCTCTGGAGGCATTCAAGGGCAGGTTGGATGGGGCCCTGGGCAGCCTGAGCTGGTGGGTAGCAACCTTGCCTATGGTGGGGCTTTAAACTAGATAATCTTTGAGGTCCCATCTAACCCAATCCATTCTATGATTTGGTATGATTAGCCCATTGGGCTGGATACCTTCTAGAGCTAAAAAGTGAAGGTGTTGCCTTCCTGTTGATCTGGCTGGTAAGTTAGAGCCTGGAAGGACCACTCCTGATCCCAGTGGTGTCACAAGCAGTGCTTCAAGATCAGCAACAGGATACAAGATTCAAAGATGTTATATACACTTACTTAACCAATGCTTCCTCAAACTTTATGCACCAAGTTTCAGCGCCGCTTCAAGTATTCTTTGAACTTATATAAAAGGAAATGGCAACGGCTGAGGCTTTCAAGGTAATGCAATTTATCTTCTCAAAATCAGCTTTTTGGGTGTCAGGCAAAACAATTTCACAATAGCTTGAAAAGATCATGTCTGGCATTGCTGAATTTTTATTGGTCTTTAATGTTACTTGAAAAGACCAGGCCATGCTGCAGTGTTCATTTTTCTATTGATTTTTCAGACAGTTTGATAACACAAATGAAAAAATGCCCAGAATAAGACATCTTTCCTAAAGCTGAGGAACTTTGGAGGAAGTCACACAACAAGTCTCCACTTCAAGTAGTGCTTTAAGAGGGCTCCTGGATGCAAGTTTGAAGTCAGCAAAAAAAAGTGTCTGTAAACAATAAGAAAAAAATAATGGCTTCATATTTACAGAAGATAGCTCTTCTTTAAAGAGCAGTTAAAAGCACATCTGCAGGGTAAAGCAGCTTTTCAAGGCTGGCAGTGCAAACACCATACTGCAGGTCCAGTATAGGTGGCTGAATGCAGTCTTCCTTGCAAAAAAGAGGATTGCTCATTGCCTTGTTTCCGGTTCTAAGGTGGTTCAATACTTCCAGGTGATCTTCCCCAAAAGAGAAAGATTTCATGTATCTCTAATGGAAGTGCTGTCTGCAAATGCATCAGTGATTGGTATGGCTGGAGGAGGAATGGCAGAGGAATGAGCCCCTATTGGAGAGGGGTAAAGAGAAGTGCAAGCCCTTTCTGCAGAGGAAGCAGGCTGCACTTGGTTCCAATTTGCACAGCTGAGGAGGTGGCTCTGTGGAACATCCCCCTGCCTGACCTCAGCAGTGTGCCACCAGCAGCTGTGATTTTTCAGAACTCTGCTCAGTGCATGAGCTGCTGAGCATCCTTGGTCCCACCAGGGGTAGGCAGGTTGTCTACGGAATAGGTGGAGCTTCTTTCCAAAAGAGCTCTTGCTCAGAGCCCTCTCTGAGAAAATGCGTCTCCTTGTAGCCTTGGGTTGAAGTTTTAGACTGCTGTCCCTTCTCTACCCATAGAGGAAGGGGAAACTGGGAGACCAGGAGCAGCCTGCAGGAAGCCCATGGAAGACCATAAAGGCTGATCCTTCTGCCTCTCTGGTCCAAGAACTGCAGTGATACTAAAGCACATGGCATCAGAGGGGGCAAAATGTTGCATGACTGCTTTCAGTCTAGTACATTTTTCCAGCATTTCTGTATAAGATATCTCATGAATCCTTATCACCATCACTGGTGAGTTAAAGAGACAATGTGATCTGGCTCTGCCAAACTTTTTCTTTCCAGGATAACACCATCTGCTGGTGGCCTATTTCTGGAGATGATTTCCACCTGTTTGTATATTTGCTACACGTAACAGAATCCTTTTCTCATAACAAATTGCATCACGTTACAATATGTAATTCTATACAACTATTACAGTCTTTACGGAATAATATCCAGGGACCTGGGGATGTTGCCTAGTAGGGCACATCTTCATTGAGAGTTATTCTTACCACTTACAAACAGAACATCCTGACTTAACTCAAACACCTTTTATTACAGTTTGAACTAATAACAAAACAAGAACAAAGAAAGCTCTCCATGCAAAGCAAAAGCATGACAACCTGCCACTGAGGACTGCAGACATTTAGAAGCATGTTTAAGCAGAAGTTTAGACATAGATGTATTTCAGTCCATGCACCGATTAGCATTGAAATGGATTGTCCTTCTCTGTCCATGCCTGGTCAGAGGGTCCCACTGTCTCCTCCTGTGCCACATTTATGCAGGGATTTGGATCTGCATGAGATGAAATCATTGTTCCATCAGATGACTCACATGATGAAGCTGTACCCTGGGATCTCATCATGATATCCTTCACAAAATCCTTCTCTTATGGGTGCCAGAATAGTGAAGGCATTTACCCTTCCTCTGAAGACCTGGCTCTTCCATCAACATTTAAAGCAGCTCGCTGACTAAATCCCCTATGCATTTGAATAATTTATCAGATGAACAAATTAATTTGTGCTGAATGAAGAGCTGGACTGCTGAGGTGCAGTAATGCCCACACAATGGAATGGAAGCTGGGGAAGTGGGGAAAACAAACCCATAACTGTGGCACACAGTGCCATCTGCTTGGGTGGATAAAGGCAGTTGTGGCCATGTCTGAAACACAGGAGAGCAGGGAGTACAGAGCAGCATCCAACAGTTGGGTGAGAATGAATAGAAGTGTTTAAGAAACAAGCAAGTTTTGTGACCTGGAGAAAGATATTGTTACAGAATGACTGAAAATTCAATTGCAAGTTTTACAACTCATTCCAGATTTTCCAGTTCAGAAGCAATGTAAGTAACATTAATGTTCCTTTTATATCACACCGACAGTTATGAAATAGAAATCTTAACTCCTGCCAAACAATCTGCCACCCCAGGCCTGGACTGGGAAACTGACAAAGGTGTATTACAACAGTGCAAAGGCTGAAAATACTAACAGCCAGACTTCAGGTAGTGTAAGCTGCCTTTGGTCCAGCTTACACCAGCTGCTGATCTGGTCCACAAGAGTTTTGCAGCTGTAGCAATTGGAGTGATGATGGTTTGTGTTCACCAAATGCTAATGAGCACTACCTAACTAGTCACGGTTCATTGCATTTGTGACCAGAAGACCGATTTTATGCAGCATCATTAAAATCCTTCTTCTAGCTGTTCTTCAAAGAAATCGTTACAAGCCACAGTCAGAGTTGCAACCAGAGTCATAAATTCATTAAAATCCACTTCATTGTCTTTATTGGAATCCAGATCGTTCATAATCTTATCAACAAGATGAGGATCGTTTTGGCCCTGAAAAGAAAAAATAAGAAAAAAAAACAAAAACAAAGAAACAAACAAACAAAAAAAACTGACTTAGCTGTGTAGATCTTGACTGCATAATTACAGCAAACCAGATGGTACGTCACAGCCCAGGTGCTATGAAATAAAAGAGTGAGGGAATGATGCACCTGAACACTAACATACCATGAAGCGTAACATTAAAAACACAGATCTGGAGTCCCAGAGATGCACAGTAACAGAAATTGGAGACTGTGCAGCTCTTAGGAGAAATACAGGTACTAAATGGGTACAGAAATGGATCAAACAGATTTGAGGAGCTACTGAGCACTGATTTATTTTGACAAGTCTGATCTGCAATGCGTATTTCTCTACATCATTCCTAAAAAACATGTTCATAAGTAGTTGTATTATACCTCCACTGATCACATTCAGAAGGTTTCTACTTAACAAAGAGCACATCCTACTCAGTGAAAGTAAGGGCAGCCAATCTCATAATAGTAAATCAGTAGCTAAGACTAAAAGAAAATCCTACTCAAGGAAATGGAGGTATAAGGGTATGAAAAAATCCTGCTGACGGTAATGGGTCTCAGAACAATGCTTACAGTTCAGAGGCTCCAGAAAAAAACAGTTATGAATCAAATTATCATTCCATAAAGCATCAATGCTTTATGAAGAACATAACAAATGTGTAAAGAAATTCATATGAAAGGCTGATCACTGGGAGGTTTTCTTAGAATCTCTCTGCAGGGCAGACAAGCAGCTGTATTGTTTGCAGTTTCCCACAAACGTGTGTAACAGCTGTCTGTGATGCACTTATAAGCCTCTAGGAATATGAGAGACCTTGGATCCCACACTACATGACCATGGTATGCAAACTGCTTTCTTGTCTGCTGAGAGCTAGTTGCTGGAATTGATTCTTTGAAGGACATATTCTGCCTTTTCAACTTTCCACTTTTCAAATGGGATATTTGATCTCATCTCCCTCTCTCCATCTCTCAAAGACAACTGTCATCTGAGAGGCTGTGGTACAAAGTGTGCAGTGTAAGGAGATGCCGTTCCTGAACACTTTGATAGATGCTTATCCCACCTGAGAAACAGAAACTCAGAGACTCAGGAGCTGCATCTTACAGAAAGGAAGTCAGTGAGCTCCCTGGTGAGGAGTTCCTTGAGCTCTCTTTTGCTCAGCTTGTATCTGTCACCTTCTTTGCCAGAGTAGTGATGAAAAATCCTGATGAAGGTGTTCATGGCATCCTCCAGTGGAGTGGACATGGCAGGAGCAGGAGAGCTGTGGGGCAAAAACCCAGAGTCAGCAACGTGGCATAGGAGCCAAAGTCATGACATGGAGAAGGCATGAGAACTAGCTGAGGATGGGCATTGTCACCAGTGCAGAGAAAATGAGTCTTCTGCTGATCCATCCTACCATGTGCATGTGAAAAGGCTATGTTATTAAAAAACAGCAATAAAACTGGGGACTGGAATTAGATCACAGAATCACAACTGTAGGGGTTGGAACGGACTTCCAGAGATAATTGAGTCCAGCCCCCCTGCAAAGCAGGCCCCTGAAGATGAATGGCAAATGAAGATGAAATTGAAATCACTTCCAACCCAAGCCATTCTCTGATTCTATGAAAATAAAATATCATCCTGAATTCATTTGCATTTACCTCTAAAAGGTACAGAGAAAGGAAAGCTCTTATTTAAGAGAGTGTTCTACTGCAAATACACTTGCTACAAAAAGAAACCTCTTGCACCCATAGCTGAAAATTCAAACATGATGAAGGCACCATGCTGCTCATTCAGAAGTTTCCACGAAAAATTAGAATCAACAGAAAACAGCAGCTGAAGGGGACATGAATTTATACAGGATGCCCCTGACATTTCTATGGTGGTTGGAGGAAAGTCACTGATTATAAAAATGCGCAAGGGTATGGGCATCAGTTTTTGCTTTATTTGGTACTGGTTTGAGATGTTTTTTTCTTTCATCTCTGTAAATTACTTGAAATAAGCAAATATAAGCTATAGGGCTTGTTTCATCAAACATGCAGTAAGAAAAAAGAAAGGGAAGCACCACTAAAACAGAAAAGACAAATGTAATGTAATTCATTAGTGAGTAACTGACATTAAAAGAATAACAAAAAACTGTGAAAAATAGAAACAAAGTGAAAGGAAAAGGGAAACATTGTCCTGATTAAGCCCCAGAAGAGAGCTTAAAAAGGCAGAATGAAACTCAAAGACTGGAGTCATGAGCAATATTACAATGCAAAGACCAAGACTTACCTGCTTTAGAGGTGTGGTGAAGTGTTTGAAGATAAACACTCAGCTCAGAGGGTGGTGGCCACCTTCTGTTCAAAACCCACACACAGGCTTTTGTTTATCAGGCTGAGAGGGTGGATTACACATATAGGGACAGACGTATAATTGTCACACACACAGGTCTTCTGTTTCGCTCTGCAGTTGCCTACTGTGTGCTGTAAAAGTCCTTGCTCTAGATAGGTCACTTAAATATTCACCAGGCCGCATACAGGGTTGTGTGTGGACACTCAAGATATTTTTTTATCTTTTAACCTGTTACAAAAATATATATCCAGAGGCCTGAAAGTAAAAACTAGTAAATACAAACAATAAATGTAAGTCTGCATGGAATAACATATTCCATTTTCAAAAACACCTTCTTAATCTCTCCACAGTTCTACAGCAGAGAGCCAGAGTGCCTGGGCACTGGCAGCCCATCCTCAAGGATACTTCAGGATCAAATGTAGGCTTGTAGTTGAGTTTGCACCAAACCCTTTGACACGTTTACTGTCAGATGTCTCAACAAGCTTAAAATGCTGGTCTTGTCAGACAAAGTTCTTGCCATAGAATCATAGAATCATTGAATCATAGTATCAGTTTCAGATAAAGATGTGGCTAGAACTGCAGTGCGCTCAGATCTGTGGACTTGAGTTAATTTCTGTCAACTCAGTTGAACTGAATTCCAGAGACTCTAAGGAGAGCACCCTGGGTTTAGCACACAGCTTCTTGCTTGAGTTTGGTTTCTCTCCAAAAAGTTTTCCACCTGTTGCATATGCATATTCATCAAAGAAAATTGCACAGAAGAACAGCTACAGGAAAAACAGCTGTGGCTACTTCTCTTTTTTATCCCAGCCTGGAGGACAGAGAAGGAGATGGGCTACACTGTTGTTTCTGAAAGCTTCCAGCCACTCATAATTTTAAGTGCCCAGCAGATCTCAGCCCACACCTCTGTCTGTCTCCTCTGCCCCCAGATATGCCTCTCTCATCTGTGCTGCTGCAAGAAGCCTCCACAGCGGGAGGGGTCTTGGGCAAGGACTTGTCTGATGGGCAAGGATGTGCTCTGGGAAAAGGGATGCCACACAAAATGCTGAATCCAGCAGTATAGGAGGTGACTGCACGTGAAGCTTTGCTTCTGAAGCAGTAGGCAGGCTCATTTGGATAGAGGTCTCTGTGGACGCACACAGCAGTGCTTCATTTCCTATCACTGTGACTGTGATTCTCACTGGGCTAGGAGGAGGAAACACGTCCGTTGGAGGACGGGTCCTAATGGAAGCCAGCCTGGATGTTGATCCACAACAAAAAGAATCTATCAGCCCCTGAAATCAGGTGAGTTCTGGGGAAGAGTACCCTCCATTCCCCTTCTGTATGTGGTGAGGGATGCTTGTGGTATCAGCTGCATTGCAGCTGTGCATGCACTGTGCCATTGCAGATGCTAAGAAAAAAATATATCAAGGGAGACTGTTCTTTATGCATCTACAGACATGAAGGGCTGTGATTCGCTAATGACAACAACCACTGTTCAGAAATATTATTCAAACAAACAGTAAAACACCTTTTTGTTGTTGTTATTTATTCAACATCTTCACCCACAGCCAGAAAGAAACACAGCTAAGTCAACACATATTTATACAATCCTCCTGTTTTTCTATGTATTACACATATCCTCTGCCTTATGAATATTGCAATTAATTATTTAAGCAGAGTCTACAGGAGGTGCAACTTTCAAGCAGCTCGTATAGTCTTTCAGAGCTGCTATCCTCAGGACAGAAGACAGAAGGGCTTTCTCTGTTATCTCCAGAACATCAACTCAATAATTTACACAGTGATACAATCTGTGTTGTCTCTTTCACTAAAGCTAATTGTGTAAGGAACTCTCTATCCCAAGCTGGAGGATTGTATCTTCAGAAGGAGCAGCTGCACTGAGCTTGTTTATTAACATATCCTTTCATTTGTTCTGTCCACCCCACTCCCTTTCCAGCTATTAAAATCCTGCTGGTGGCTCCAGTGACAGCAGGGATCTCCCTGCTCCTCTAAGGGCAGATCCCAGAAGCTACTCAGAGTTCATGATTATCTATCCACTATTTTGAACTCTTCATCCAAAACTCTTGATAATCATTTTTTGATATGCTATCTGATATGCATTGAAGATAACTAAGGGCATTGTGGCCTGAGAGAAGAGCATTTCTGTATCAGGGCAAGAACCAATTATATATTAGTAGCCACCACTTCCCCACTGATCCTACCCTGCTCTCTGGTTTGCACCAGGGTGAGCAAAGGAGTGGCGCCAGGGCAGACACATGGCTGACAGAGCAGAATTGCAGTGATTGGAGACATAGAAAACATTGGTACCTTCTTCATTAGTGTCCAAACTGCCCATGCCTCATCCCACCTATTGCTCAAAGTAGAATGGTTACCAGATGAAGTTAGCTATGGGTTTATCTTGCTAAATCTTAAAAACCTTCACGGACAGAATTTTCAGAGATTCTTAGGTAACCTACAGTTCTGCTGCATTACCTCCCTAGAGAAGATGTAATATTCAGTATGGACATCCCAAGTTGTGAACATGGCCACTGGCCGTTCTTGTACTGTCACCACCACCAAGAAGTGACTTCACTGACATTATAAATTATCTTCAAATACTCATTATCCCTCAGCCTAACTCAAAAATAAACCAGAAAGCAGCCTGTTGCCTGACTTACCTCATCTAGTTCCATGTTTTTGTGTATCCTGCATGTCACATGCTGGCCCCTTGCAGACTGCTCCAGCTGTGCCCTTCTCCTAATGAATAAAGTGATATTAATGTGCACACTGCAATATTAAAGACTACACTGCAAAATTAATGGCTGTCAGAATCAGAAGAGCAGATTTTCCAGACGGCATGTCAAAACTTCTACATAGGACTGAATTCTGTCATCTTTGGTTAAGCATTAATACACACGAGCCTTACAGAATGAGTAATCCATCCAATTGTTCACTGGAGGCTGCTGAGAGATGAAGGCTTTTTCTTGTTGTGTAAATTTGAGAAAAGACCAAACCAGCTATGAGTGATTCCTTCATTTCTAGTCAGAGTAAGCTAGAAGTACACATTGTCTCTATGGAGTTGCACCTTCCCTCCTCCATGGGGATGAAGCACTCAGACCTCAGGCAGAGAATCTTAATGCTGTTCTCTGCTCCTTAAGAATGACTGATACAAGTCAACAGCCCTTCACTTCCACAGACAAGAAGGAGAGGTTTTGGCTTCTTGCATCACAGTGATTTTCCCTTTGGTCTCTTTCTGAAGCAACATAATAGAGGATGCTTTTAAGCCAGAGCAACCTATAAAGTGAGAGACTAACCTGCAATAAAATACTGCTCAATTTCAGTGGGAGAATCTCAAACTCAGGACATCTGTTTTTCAACATTTGCCAGAACACATGTGGGGAATATTTTCTCACAAGTAATTATTCTGCTGGGAAAGACAAGTCAGCCTCCCACCCACATCCTGTGATCATTTATTTTTTCCCAGATTCACACCACTTTTGAGATGCATGTGTTCTGCATAAATGTTGTACCCCCAAAGTGGCAAAAGGTGTGATTGGAAAGAACAGGCAACTCTGCAAGACTCAGAAGGACAGATAAACTGGACAGTAAAAAGCTTACACTAGATTAACTAGCCTAGATTAGAATAAAGAGCTTATTTCTATAGATTAAAGAGTTTACAAGAGACTTGCATTTGAACCAGTATTTCATGTTATATTGAGCATTTTTACATTTTTAGCATTGCTAGCATTTTCATTTCTGTTCTGTTTCTGTATCTGGCTAGTTGACTGATTTGTCTCATTACATCAGGCATAAGTCTCCAACAAGCCTGGTTCACATCTCCAAGACTTTAAACTGCTGTAACCACACAGATAGCAGAATACCAAAGAGCTGGAGCTGCAGTGGACACCCTGTCCCTGGAGATACTCAAGGCCAGTGTGGACCAGGCTCTGGGCAACCTGATCTAGCTGTGGATGTCCCTGTTCACTGCAGGGGTGCTTGTCTAGATGACCTGTAAGGGTCAACTCCTAAGGATTCTATGATTCTGTGATCCTGCTAATAGCTTTTATGACCTAAATTTGGTGATTTTCTCTGTACAGATCTTTTCTGAGAAGTTACACTTCAAGGACTGCCCAGCTCAAGTTTACCCTGATCTCATTATTTTCTGAGGCCCATGCTGAACAAGACTGTATATATCTTTTCCAAATGCACTGATGACTTTTCATTTGAAATGTCTAGCCCACTGAACTCTGCTTGTTCTCATAGTGATCATTTCTCTTACGCTTCTCATTTGGGACAGGAATTGGAGTGTTGCATATGAGATGCAGAGTTGCTTCACCACCCACTACTCCCTTCTCTTCCTTCTAACAAATGAACCACCTTTTTCTCTGTGAGCAATCACCCATTACTACACTATGAAAGTAATGCTTGATTGTACAGGAATTTATTGTTACCTGGAAAACTGCCTAGAAAGCCTTATCTAACCCTAAACTGAAATTATGAAGTCATATTCTGCTCATACAATACTTTCTTCCACTCAGGCCTCTGAAACATATGTATTTACTACGTCATTTATCAGCCAAGCCATTTATTACTTTAATACCACTGGTCTACACTTAGGAATATCAAAATAGTGTAAAACGCCACACAGTCAGAGCCAGCTCTGCTTCATACAGCAGCAGGGCATCCAGTTCAAAGGCCAGAGCACAGCTCTCCTTTCTGTAACCAGAGAACATGCACACTGCTCCAGCTGGCTATGCTAAGTCACCTTATGATATGTCACCATCTGAGCAAAGCCAAGATAGCAATACCCCTTGTGATAATTCCACTGGTGCATAAGAGGAACTCACACTCCTGAGACATGCTATTTCTGTCTGACTCATTCATACTTGTATCAACATTCAGCAGCCTTTGCCGTAATTCATTTCAACGTCCAGTTCCTTCCACAAGGTTTTTGCAGACAGGTACAGCTTGTGCTGCATAACCATCGGTAGCCCTCCTTACAGGGTATGTTGCAGGTGCCTGCTGGCTTTGTCACAGGACAGTGGCCATGTCACCTAGCAGGTTGTAGCAGATGACTAGGAAAATTCCTGTCCCCTTCACATTCTCCAGTGTGTGTGGTTCTCCTAAACTGCCCCTACCTGAATGGCACTTCAGGTCTGACACATGCAAGGGCACATGGGAACAAGAAGAGTTTGCCAGTTACTGTTGATGTGAAAGCTGATGGAGATGTATCAGTTAACGAAGATACCTTGGAAGGGTCCAATGTGCAATGATTCATTTTCTGCTTCATGATGATTTCAACAGCACAGCTGATCCTCTCCCCTGAGCGCTCGGAAACATGTAGGATACCTGCAGACCTTGAACAACATCCTGCGTGTGCTTTCATTGCTTTGTAATCTCAAGAAATCACATGCTCACGGAATCGCAGGGGTTGGAATGGACCTCAAGAGTCCCTTTGCATACTTCTCTAGTCTCAGGCTAAAAATTCTGCAGCTATTAAATTTAGGAACAAGCTTCCGGTGGCAGTGAGCTCCTCCAAGCAGTTAAGGACCCAGCCCATGTAACTGCACACTTGCACATATGCTTGGCCATGTCATGATGCGTGGGTGGCCACAGAAGTGGAGCTTCTGCAGCTTTTCCATACTCACTTCCATACTCACAGTAAGCTGTGAGATCAAGCAGACCAGTTTTCAGATAAAAGGAAAATAAACTCTCCTTCCTTATCAGTCGTGCATTAAGACCAGACTGATTCAATATTTCTGGGTATTGTTGATATGAAGTCAACATATATATATATTTTAAAAAAGAGGTAAATAAAGTTTTCTTCGTGTACGAACCAATGAGAAAAACTTATTTTGGTCTGGCACTGCCCCTTAGTGTCTTGCTGAAGAACTGCTACTTCCAGATCTCAACTCCAGCAGTGACCAGCAACTACTGGCCCTAAACTGCTCCAGGGCACCTAGAAGTGGTTCACTACTGCACCATTACAGCACTGCATAAGGGTCTGCATTATGAACTGCAAGCTAAATGAGAAGAAAAATACAGAAAAAGAAAATAAAAACCAAACTCCAGCTACTTGTGTCTTGTTAGCTAAAGCTACCAACTCTGTAGATAATTTGTGCTTAACACCATTCAGCGTTCAACCTATGGGGTTTAGGCAACATGCTTTGTAGAACTCAGGCTGTATATCCCACTAATGAGAGGCAGGCAGGCCACAGCAGGCAATTGTGGAAACATCTGGCCCTTAGTAGTGCGCCACAAGCTCATCACCTGCTGTGGGAAAACCAAAGTTAATTCCAATCCCAGTGGTTGGGCAGTGACTGAAAGAAGAAAGAACATGGTAATGTAGTATGTGCAAGAGCTGTTACAGAAGCAGACTGTTAAAAAAAATAAAAATTAAAATTAAAAAAAGGATCTTTCTGAAATGCAATGGGATAAAGGAGTCTTAAGAGGGATTTTGGGGGCAGGCAGGTGTTCAGGATACAGAACAAGTACCTGGGGAAGGTGAAGCCATAGAAAAAGACGTAAGTATTTTCCAGGTGTTTTCACTGTGGTGAAGCTTGGGGCTTCCAGAGGATGGAGAAAGGGACATGCTGAAGGATCTGTGTCAGACCAAAGTAGAGGAAGAAGCTGTAGAAGCCAAATCCTCACAACAAGCAGAACGAATTGATAGGACTGAATGATGCTCATCCCAGAGCTGTAGAGGAACTCAAGGTGGATGAACCATGTACTCTGCCTGGGAGCCGTGTTCTGAAACCTTATTTGGGACTACAGTGCAGGAACTGGGCAGGGAGAATGTCAATGTGAGAGGTGCCCTGCAATAGCCAGAGGGATGCTGACAGTAAATGTGTTGTTCAGGGTAGATCAAGAGGAATTCAGCCTCAAAACCAGAATGCTGGGAACATGAATAGAAGTAATGTACTGGGGAAAAGTAAAGGGAAGTCATAGCTCAAACCTGCTGATGTTCCCTGGAGGAAACCATAAGTTGATAACCTCTCTCCTTATTGTCTACCTTGTTCACAGAGAGTATTCCTCACTCTTAAAGGAGCTAGGATGCCATGGCATGAGGGAAATGACTGACTGAAAGATAGCATATCAGGAATGAATTATTGATCTGTACAAGTGAACTGAAACTGCCAATGGAATTCTGCAGGAATCTGCACTGTTCAACACGTTTATCAGTGATCTGGGAGGAGGGGTGAATAATGAAGAGATAAAGGTTTTTTGCTGACATAAAACTGTACACACAGAGCAACTGAAAATGTTGGCCCAGTAATAATATGAAAATAAACAGGATTGGGAGAGAAATAGAAAACAGAAAAAGTAAAATAAATAAGTGCAAAAGGGCACAGTGGTGGCCCTGGTGTCCTCATCTTATAAAAAGTACAGCAGGATTGGAAAAGGTAAGGAGAAGAGCAGCAAAGAAGATCAAAAGCAGTTTTAATGTTAGAAACAGATAATTACAGAAGGTGTCTCTGTCTGTGGAAGGACATAACTGAGTGAGTATATGACAGAAGTCCATGTAGAAAGTAGCATGAGAAAGATGAGCAAGAAGTAGTTGTTCATGGTGTTTTCCAATATAAAAATAAGGAGAAACAAAAATGAAAAGAAACCAGCTCAAAACAAACTAAATAATATTTTTAATCTGTAAAACTGCTTGATTTGACAAATTCCTGGAAAATATATATCGATAACTTAGAAATATAAAAGCTTGTGTCATCAAATCATTGTCAAAATGCAAATCACTGGACATGTGA